GCCAATACCATTTGAGGTTTCGCTCCAGCCTGCATCTGCCACAAGCTCCTGTACAATCCATTCACAAAGAGCAAGTTAATTAACATAATATCACTCAGAGCTAGCTCGTTCCTGCCTATCAGTGTCATCTTATCAGTGTCCTCAACTGAAAAGTAATCTCTGACTTGATCTTTCCTTGGCCACCAAGCAGTGCCTGAACAGAGGGGGCTTTGTTTTGAGTTGCTAGACATGTGAAGGTCAGCTCCCAACCTTTTCCTGGCATTGCCCTTGCCTTGGAGAGCAAGGTAGAGCCTGTTCTCATGTCAGACCTTGTTCTTTTCTTCCTGGCTTTGACAAGAAGATATCATTTGTCCTAGGGAGTTGCTCCCCAGGCTGGGAGTGGGCTCAGGCATGGAGCACAGTACGGCAAAGCAGCAGCATGGGAAGTACATCCCGGGGGGGGCAGTCCTGAACACAACAAACCCACCACCCACCCAGGGACATCCAACAACACACTTGGCCTGACAAGAAGTCACCTGCCATGCAGCAACTCCATCACTTGCAGAAGATAAGCCCCAGGCAGTTTTGCTTTGGCAAAATCCATCCACACCCTGAAATAAGGCACAACAGAATATGAAATCCAGATGACAGGAGGGCCCACATCTGCTCCTGCATTGCACAATCACAAGCTGGGCTTGTGATCGAGCTGTGCCAAGCACACAGGCCAACTTGCAGAAGGAGGACAGGTTTAAGATCATAAATTCTGCTGATTTTACTAAAGACCCACACTCTTCCACGATACTGATCCTTCGCCAAAATCATATGCTGTAATATAATAGTTTTATACATATACACACATGTACCTTGAGATATTGTTATTTTAGCACATCATTATGTTTTGAAAGAAGTAGGCAACCAGTCTATATGACACGGGTTTTATTATGACGTGGGTTTTAGGGGGGTTTTATTTTGAGGGAAAGTAATTTGGTAAGTGCAAACTGGTAGTTAGGCTGACGGAAAGCCAAGCTGATGTAGGTGAACATTTTTCAAACAGGAGATAGCTGTAGGTGGGGAAGATAAACCTTTTATTTTTAAGAGATTTTTTTTTTTTTTAAGAAAAACTTTAAACATGATGTTTTAAGAAGCATCCAAGTGAGGGGAATTTTTAAGGCAATTTTAATAACCATTAATAAAACACTGATTTTCTATTGCAAGCCTAAATGGTGTTAACCCAGCCATCACCTTCACCTGGATCCTGCAAATCAGAGACATGCTGGCTTCCTGGGTCACAGCTGCTCCTCCACACCACACACACTCCACCTCCCCCAGATCTGCCCCCTTTCCACAAGGCAAAGCACATCTCTGCCTACAGTGACTATCACCCTCACCCCAGCCCACATCCCCTCTGCCCCACTAGCACCAGCCAGCATTTCTCCAAGACCACCAAGTCTAGTGATAGAAAAATCCCAAGTCCTCATTTCACCAATTCCAATTCATCAAGGTCAAATCCTTTTCCTTGCTGCTGTGGAGCCCTCCTATGTTAAAATCTCAAAACAAAAAATAGGATTGTTGCTTTTCTATGCCATCCACTGAGAAGCTGGCTTTGGAGAGAACCAGCTAAGAAACCATGCTTAACCAACATGAAAAAAACACTAGCACTTACAACAGGTATCACCCTTGTGCTTTGCAAGAGTAAAGCACAAACACTACAGCCTCTACAAAGAAATTCCTTAACACATAATTATCTCTTAGAAAGAGCAAGGGCTTTAGAAACACAGTAAAACTTGCACACAAGCACCTACCCTGCTGTCCTTCACAAGATCATCTCAAATGAGGCCAGGCAGCTTCCTAGGGCATATCTTCCCACCTCCTCCCAAACCCAGGCAACCTGCAAATCCTGCTTTTATAGGGTTTTACCCTCCCTCCTGCAACACCTTCACCTGGTGACTCACTAATTACATCCCAAACGAGCAAGCAGGCACAGCTGAGATCTTTCTGCTGGAAGAGAAGACCTTGCAGCTCAATATACCTTATTTAATTCTCCATAGAAAGCCTTCTCCTATGCGTCAGACATTTCTCCAGCCTTCTTTCTGTGCTTTTCCAGCTCACGTCTGAGGCAATCTGTTGCTTGCTAAGGGCTCAAAGGTGTTTTGTAATCAAAATGTTATCATCGAGAGAAAATAGAGCCTGTGTAGCGATTAAAAATAAGTCTTCATTTTTGGGGAGCAGGATAACCAAGAACACAGTCCTGAGCAGTTTGGGTCAGGCAGACTGCCCAGCACTCCGTCCCAAGACAGGACTGGGTGACTGGAACAAACTGGACACTGCTGGGCTGGGGCTGCTGGGGGTTTTGCCGCAGTTGTTATTCGTGGGGTCAGGTCTCACGTTCTTCCGTCCTGAAATAGAGCAAAACCCCAAACCACTCCCAAGAAATCCAGGCTGTTCCTAAGAAACTACAACTTACAAAATAAAAAAAAAAAGAAAAAAAGAAATACATTTTTGTCACACAGTAGCACCATTTTGGACTATTTTTCTTCTGCAGGTGGGACTTAGAAAGCATTTCATAGCCAGGAACAGCAGAGCAGTGACCGATGAAGGGCAGGAAGAAGAAAACCTTGTTTTGAACATCTCAGACAATGAGTTGTGGATCCCCATCCCCAATTTGGTGGCATCAGCACATATTTGGGGAACCTCTCCATGTCAGGGAGCTGCAATGAGACCAATTCCTCTTGAGAAATACCCACCCATATCTTTTAGGCAGTTCTAACATAGAGTTGCCCACGTCCCTGCCATGGAGGGTTGGGGTTCACGGTGAAATGATAGCCCAGGTGAGAGCTCTTACAGGGCAACCTGGCCTGCAGAAATGCTTTCCCACTCCTGCAGTCCCTGCCCTGGAGAGGGACAAATGCCTCCCAGCCATGCTCTGCTCAGTGAGCTGAGATACTGTGAGTGAAGGTACTCATGAGGTCTGCAGGGTGTTTTAAGTCAAGAGCTTATGCATTCAGGAAAATGTTTTGCTAATAACCTGGCTGTCCTGGCTTCTCCAGCTCTCCTTCAATGCCTACAGATGTCTAAAGCTGGTTGTTCATGGCTGAGCTGGTCCTGCACAGCCCTTCCCTGCTCAGTGGAGAGTCCCAGCAAGCCCCTCACTGCCACCTTGGGGGGGAGCCAGAGATAGCTTTGTCACCTTCCACATCCACCAACCTCTGTTCATTGGCCACAGAGGACCTTCAAGGGCCAGTTTAGTCCCAGACCAGGGAATGTTTGATACCAAAAACCCACCGAGTCAAAGCTTCACCCGCAGTCTTGCTACACCCTACCCAACACCTTGTTGACTTTGGAAATGATTCAAACCCTTCTGTCTCGGAATCAAGGGGACACCCCATGCAAGAAAAGACCAGGCTTTTTTTTTTTTTTTTCTTTTCGCAGAGATTTTTTTTTTTTTTTGTCATCTCTTTAATTTCATCTTGGTACGCGATTTCTGACAGTGTGTCAGCATCTCCCGCCGGGTTCAGCCATCTCTGGACCCCGCTACATTCAGTGTCAGACCGTACGGTGGCGACGAGCCGGTGTTCCGAGCGTCACAGGCACTCGCGTGTCTCTACGGGTTGTCGCTTACATCATTCGCGAACAGCAGCACAAAAGGACACAACGCATGAAAATGAGAGTGGGGATGAGGTGGGTGTCAGCTGAAGGCTCGACCCTAAGGACAACGTTCCCCAGGTTCCCATGGCTCTGGCAGGGATGAATCCAGGCACAGGGTGGGAAACGCAGGGCTCTCCCTCCTTTCTCCTTCCCCCTTCACACTGGTCTAGCACCCATATTTGAGGTTTTTTCGCTGGGGCAGGCAGGATGGGACCTGCCATGGGAACGATGATGCAGAGAAGCACGGTTGAGCCCTGACGGGCCAGCATGTCCATCAGCTCCAGCAGCGTTGTCCACCACGCGCCGACCTCCTGGACACGTCCAGCGGTGGGGACAGGACCCGGCCGTCGTGCTGTCCCCATCGATCTGCTGGCGGAGAAGCAGGTCCCTGGAGCCCAGCCCTGTTTTGGGCTTCAACCGCACCTCAAAACCAGTGGGGTGACCTGAGAGCACCAAAAATAACCAACCCCCCAAAACCCAAACCTATCACCTGAAACGAACTGATGTTCCTTCCCTGCCACTGGGCTTTTGCAACCTAAACACAACGTTTATAAAAAGTAAATTATTTCATCTTATAACTTAAGTGCATTGAGTATTTCCTTAAATATGGTTCACGCTGAAAATAAAGTTACTTTTGCTGTACAGTAAATTTCTGATAGACTTAGAAATAAACTTTGTTGATACAATCTGGCGGGTGCGGCTGTGCGGTTCGTCACCCACAGCCACACGGCTCTGCACGCACACACACGCGTGTGCCCACGCACACACACATACACACACACAGCCCCATCCTCGGGGATGGGGGCGATGTTAGGGGCTTCTAGCTTTCTATATCCGCATGGGAACATCTAAAAAGTCCCTGTGTTTGAACTGGGAGCGCTCAAGCTGGTCGAGGGGACAGAGGGGAAAACCTCGCAGCGAAGTTTTCCCTGTGTTTCCCCAAAGCAGGGTCAGCTTTTCAAATTCCAAAGCCCAGCTGATGCTGCGGGCTCTCCCCGCGAAGATCAGTAGTTCGCTCTTTCCGAAACTCGGACCAAAGGTGGCGAAGAGGGGACACGGCACCGGGATGCTCCCGCAGGAAGGGTTTCCTCCTCCCCTTGCCGAAACGAGACGTTTCTTTCCCTGTTTGAAATTTGAAAACCCACCAGCCAGCTGCAAAAACCACTCCTGTCCCTAATCCTAGGCTCCTAAGAGAAACATGAAACTATGCAACCCATAACTTAACTTGCTCCTCGGGAATCCCAAGCTACAATGCATTGTTTGACAGCATCCCAGCAGTGTCACCCCCCCCCTTCCTCCCACTCCCGGGGGCTCTGCAGCCCCGCCTAAGCCAGCGCGGCGGCATTGGCTGCCCCATGCCAGGGACCCCGCTGCGCTCAGGAGGTGAAGTAGGAGTTCTGCATGGAGTAGAGGTGGTCGATGGGGTTCCCCACTCGTGCCTGGAGCGGCCCCGCGTCCGCTGTGGCAAGGAAGCAGTCGCCCAGGTTGCTCAGTGAGGTATCGTCACTATCCAAGTCATGGAAGAGGGGCTCGGCACCTTGGGAAGCAGGGAAGGAGCAGATGGGTTTCACAGTCGACTTTATCCTCCGGCACCTTGACGGTACCTGGTACCCTCTAACTTTTGCAGTAGAGATTTTAGTTTTAGGGGAGAGGGGACCTCTGATTTCCCAGAAATGGCTGCATCCTCCATGCATCCCCCCAGCACACAGCCTCCCACCACGGCCCAGCACCTCTTCAACGGAGAGGAGGCAAGAGGCAAACCCCACAGCCTTACCGTAGGGGTGCATGTGGTCTCCGGGCATCTGTGGTGGGGTGAGCCCTTGCCGGAAGGGATCAGAGTTTTAGGGGAGAGGGGACCTCTGATTTCCCAGAAATGGCTGCATCCTCCATGCATCCCCCCAGCACACAGCCTCCCACCACGGCCCAGCACCTCTTCAACGGAGAGGAGGCAAGAGGCAAACCCCACAGCCTTACCGTAGGGGTGCATGTGGTCTCCGGGCATCTGTGGTGGGGTGAGCCCTTGCCGGAAGGGATCAGAGCCGTAGACACTTTGCTCCATGCCCAGCAGCTGCTGGGGTGGGGGCAGTGCAGTGTAGGGGTTCAGCATCCCCTCCAGCCCCGTGCTGTTTGTCTGCGCTGGAAGATAAGAGCAAGCCGTCGGAGCAGTTGGGCTGCTGCTTTTTGGGGGGCTCAGCTCCCTCGGGAAGCCTGGAGAGGGCTGGGAAATGGGGAGACCCTGAGCATGGGGAGGGCTGGGTGCAAGGGGGGGGTACCTGAGCTCAGGCGCTGGGTGTTTTGCTGATCCTGCTGCTGCTGCTGTTGCCTCCTGGCCAACTTCTTCATCTGGCCCAGAAGAAGGGGAAAACACGGGGTGGAATCATCTCCCGGCCGGAGCGAGGAGGGAGGGGAGCCCTGTACCGGCCACTGGCAGGGGGGAACCCCCTCGTACCCACCTT